GGGAGGGCGTCTAATGTCCTGGCCCCACTGGTGGACCTCCTGATGGCCCCTGGTATTTCTGGCCACTGTGTGACACAAGAGTGTTGGACTGGATGGGCCTTTGGCCTGATCCAACATTGGCGTCTCTTATGTTCTTATGTTTAAATAAACAATTATCACTTTGTTCTGTAGCAGAACAGCATTGGCCTTTTTACGGTTCTATTTGGGACATTTACTTCAGGGACGTAACAACTGACTTTGTTGTCTGGTGCCAGTTTGGTGTGGTGGTGAAGTGCGCGGACTCTAATCTGGGAGAACCGGGTTTGATTCCCCACTCCCCCACTTGCACCTGCTGGATGACCTTGGGCAAGCCACAGTTCTGTCAGAGCTGTTCTCGAAAAAGAGCAGTTTCTGTCAGAGCTCACTCAGTCCCACCTACCTCACAGGGTGTCTGTTGTGGGGAGGGGAAGGGAAAGGAGTTTGTAAGCCGCTCTGAGACCCCTTTGGGTAGTGAAGGGCGGGGTATAAATCCAATCTCTTCTCTTCTTCTTCTCTCAGAGCTGTTCTCTCAAGGACAGTCCTCGAAAGAGCTTTCTCAGCCCCACCTACCTCACAGGGTGTCTGTTGTGGGGAGGGGAAGGGAAAGGAGTTTGTAAGCCGCTCTGAGACCCCTTTGGGTAGTGAAGGGCGGGGTATAAATCCAATCTCTTCTCTCTTCTTCTCTTTGTAGTCTGCCGTTATATGTCCAGTCGCCCCCTCTAGTGTTATCCACCGGTCCGCTCACTTGAATGCTGAATATTAGCCAATGCGGTTTTTAAAACATCACAGGGGAAAGGGCTGTTATTTGCTTTGCAGCTCATATTTCCTTGCTGGGCAGAATTTAATTTTAGCAACATCGAAAACTGTTTCAAGGACAAAGGAGTATAACCTCTTTTTGTTTCTTGAAGTTTTAACATGACTTAGAAGTGAATGCCTTTGTTTGTTTGGTTAACATGGCAGAGTTTTGCCGAGTCATAGAAGCGTGATACCGAGTACAGTCAATACCTCTCCCAAGAGGTATATTGCAAAAAGGGTAAACTTACATTTTTTCAAGTAGATCCAGTTCACGTTCATGTTGTAGTCAAAAGGAGAGAGAAGACTAATCTAAAGAGGACTTTCCCTATCCCAAATGGCCAGCTTGTCCAGCATCAGGTGTGTGGAAGTATGATGGCATTGTCTCTACAGGAGAGAGCTGCAGAGACATGTGTCTTCATGGAAGGCCATGTGAGAGAGTGAGGGGACAAAGGGAGTGTGAGAGAAAGAAAAGGTCAGAGGGCAACTCCCAGGTTAAGACAAACAAAGGAAACGACACCTATACACACTTAGAGTGATGTAGCTCCCCCAATGTCCAGGCATGCTGAGTTGCTCACTCCAACACATGTTTTACTTATGCACACAGTAGACGTTTGGACATCAACACCTTCTATTGCGCAAAGTCCGCATCTCTCTGTATGGGCGTATCCGACCAGAGGTATCGGGTTCTCTGGCTTCTGACAGCAAGGATGTTTACGTAGATGCAAAAAGGTGGTGGGGATCGTGCCGGAGTGAAAGCAATTTAAATTTCTTACCAGTACTGGCTCTCTGGGAGCAGGAGATGGGAGGTACCACTTTGGCAGTGTTCTTACCAGCACTTACCAGCTTGGTGTAGTGGTTCAGTGCACGGGCTCTAATCTGGGAGAACCGGGTTTGATTCCCCACTCCTCCACTTGCACCTGGCTGGATGACCTAGGCAAGCCATAGTTCTGATAAGAGCTGTCCTTGAAAAAGAGCAGTTTCTGTCAGAGCTCTCTCAGCCCCGCCTACCTCACAGGGTGTCTGTTGTGGGGAGGGGAAGGGAAAGGAGTTTGTAAGCTGCTCTGAGACTCCTTTGGCTAGTGAAGGGTGGGGTATAGATCCAATCTCTTCTTCTTATGTAGATCCAATGGTTGTATTTGGGATCGCTGTTCGTCTGGGCTCAGAGGAGGATTAACAGTTACTGCTCCAGCGTTGACAACTAAGTCCTCCACACAGGCTCGGCCTACTTAGGACTGCCAGCCTCCAGGTGGGACCTGGGGATCCTCCAGAATTACAGCTCATCTCCAGGCTACGGAGATGAGTCCCCCTGGGTCTGGCAACAAAGCAACCCTTGATTTCTTGTTTAAGTCTGTGTTGAGTTCACCGTGATTATTTTCTATTGCTGCTTTCGGCCAGTGGGTAAAGACTAATCCGTTTTGTTTGGCGTTACCCCCACCAGTGCGCCTTCCTATGAGTTTAGTTTGTTGTTCTAATGGTTATACATGTGTCTGTGTATTTTTACAGCTGGTTTAAATGTTTTTGAATGTTTAAATGTTTGGCACCTTGGCACACCCAGAGCTGGGTGGTGGAACTGCAGCATTTCTTAAAAAGTGAAATGTCAATCAATATTTAGGAGGTTAAATTTCAGTTTATTTTAATCGTAAGGGCTAACACATGCACACTGCACTCGACTGACTGTGGGGCTGTTGCTTTTTTGAATATTTCTAGCTCTTGAGTCGTGCTCATAGCACAAGACGCAAATCTGGATTAGAGGTGAACGCGAGTGGGGTCCTCAGATCATCCATGAAGGCCGCCCTGCTCAAGTCAGAATCCCACCACCAACGCTCCCTCTAAACAGTGGAGTCTTCTGAGCAAAAATTCTACTTTGTGAGCTACTGGCATTAAAGTTGTGAGGGAGCGCTTTAACTATTGCCTAAATTAGTTTGCTTTGGAGCCATCCTTCCTGAGCCGAGACAAAAACGTGTGAGCCGGAGGCTAAAACACTGTGAGCTCGCTCACACCAACTCAGCTTAGGGGGAACACTGCCCACCCCCATCCCTCTCAAGCACATCCACAAATGTTACACATTGATCTGTGTCAAGGTACTGCAAGAAATCTTCGTCCTGCAAGGGACGGGGGCAGGAGGGCAACGGAGTGCCCCCCTCTCGCATGACATGAATGGAAGGGGACAGGCAACATCTGGACAGAGCCTGAGGGGGTGAGAGGTGCTACCTTACCCAATACCCACACCTAGAGGTGACCAGATCATAATCAAAGACCCCACTGCGCTTGTTGCTACCCAAGGGCCTTGCCTGTTGGCCAATGGCCATTAACTCACTCTGAGAGCCACGGCCACAGCTGTTTGGTGCCAGTTTGGTGTAGTGGTTAAGTGCGTGGACTCTAGTCTGAAAGAACCGGGTTTGATTCCCCACTCCTCCACTTGCACCTGGCTGGATGACCTTGGGCAAGCCGTAGTTCTGATAAGAGCTGTCCTTGAAAAAGAGCCGTTTCTGTCAAGAGGTCTCTCAGCCCCACCTGCCTCACAGGGTGTCTATCGTGGGGAGGGGAAGGGAAAGGAGATTGTAAGACGCTCTGAGACACCTTTGGGTAGTGACGGGCGGGGTATAAATCCAATCTCTTCTTCTTCTTTTAATCTGGGAGAACCGGGTTTGATTCCCCACTCCTCCACTCGCACCTGGCTGGATGACCTTGGGCAAGCCATAGTTCTGATAAGAGCTGTTCTTGAAAAAAGAGCGGTTTCTGTCAAGAGCTCTATCAGCCCCACCTGCCTCACAGGGGGTGTCTGTTGTGGGGAGGGGGAGGGAAAGGAGTCTGTAAGTCGCTCTGAGACACCTTTGGGTGGTGAAGGGCGGGGTATAAATCCAATCTCTTCTCTCCTCTTCTTCTCTGGCCATCTCACAACCGTTTCTTCTCTAGTCACATCTCAGTCCAAAATTTGCTCCCTTCTTTTTCTCTCCAGGTACAGAGAGAAAACTGTCGACTTCAGCACTGTTCCTGCTTGCCCTATAACCGAGGGTGTAAATCCCCACGGGACAGGCTTGGGTCTGCTCATCCACACACACACAATACTCTCTCATGTCACAATTCTGTATTATATTTTTCCTATCCTGCCCTGAGTCCAAGGCTGCAGTTCACAGTAGCACACGTAGCCATCTCCTCCCTCATTTTACTCTTGACAGGAACTAACTTGAAAGGGACCCATCCAAAGCCATCTAGTAAAGGCCGTGGCGGAGCGGGGGCCCTGAACCTGGGGTCTCTCTCAAAGCCCCAGTCCAACTCCCAAGTCTCACCAGCAGAGAAACTAGCTGGGTCCGACCCCAAAGTAACTATTGCTGCGGCTCCATTCGTGTCCCATAAACGTCTCTGAGATGTGCGCGCACAGCTCTGAGTTGCACGTCGGCTGTGGAAGGACTGTCGACACTGTGCCCGGGCAGCTCTTGTCTGAGGAAGAAGAGACTGCCAGTGGTAGCTACTCATGAACGCATGAACCTGCCTTATGCTGAATCAGCCCCTTGTTCCATCTAGGTCAGTATTGCCCACTCAGACTGGCAGCAGCTCTCCAGGGTCTCAGACAAGAGGTCTTTCCCATCCCCTCCTGCCTGGTCCTTTTAACTGGAGATGCCCGGGATTTGAACTTGAGATCTTCTACAAGATGGTAATGTCAGTATTCTGAGTGTGTTTGCTGACACACACACACCCGCCCCAGCTCTTTCAGTCTGCTGCCCAGGGCCCTGGTCTTGACACTGGTGAGATCATAAGTCCCCCCAGTCATGTGACTGGCCTCTTCCTGTCACATGTTTGTAGCTTAGTGAGCCCTATGCTATCACCTTAGGGCTACAAAATGGATCCTGCAACTGGGAAGTCTGATGACCTTAAAGACGAGACTGATCTATGAAGGGGATACAGACGGTTTCTAATTCTATTTAATATTAAATACAACCCAGGGAAGTAAGGTAATAATTATAATTGCAATAAAATTATATACAAACATGGCATGAACAATAAAAACCTTATAAAATTACAGATATTCAAACCATTTTGAACTTTAGAATTGTCAGATTCAAGTTATATCCTGAATTTTATATACATATACAATTGTTCACAAACTCTGAAAAGCTGTATTGACAAAAGGCAAAGTTTTTAACTTATTCAAAATCTACCAAAGTTTTAAGACTAGAGTAGCGAGGAATAAGAAATGTAAACATTTTTTTTTTTAAAAAAAAATACCTTGGTGGACACAAATGCATTCTACCGTATTCTGTTTAATAAAGTGCTGATATAGCCATTGCATTATTTTAAACATTTTTTTCCCAGGTTAACATCTTTATACAATATGATCATCTTATTAAACTGTACAGGACTAACCCTTTTCAAAATCAAATTAGGATGTTAAGATTTATGTGCCTCGTTTCCCTTATTTTAACCGACAGAAGGAAAAAAATGACCTCCCATACCGATTCCCTGCAGTGAATTTCCGAAATGTGGGCCTGAACATGTCTGCATCAGCACTACTGTCTTCACTGCTTGCCTATCATGGTTTCTATAAAGAATAAGCAGGAGTCCTGTGGCCCCTTTCAAGACCAACAAGGTTTTATCCCAGCCCGAGCTTTCACAGACCAGAGCCTTTTTGCCAGATGCGTGCAGTTCTTCACTAGGAAGTTATGCATACCTGAAGTTAAGGAATAATATTGTAAATATCGTCCTCAAGGGACCAGTAACGCAAACGGAATCAAGAAAAGCACAGAGAACTTTCCCAGAAGCTGTCATTGACCCAGCTTGTACTACGGAAGTTAACACCTACAGTGAGATCTGAAAGTCGCGCTTCTCCAGAGACTCCCAGGTGAAACAGCTGACTTAAGTTCAACAAAAGGCTTGGCACAATCCTTATCTCGGTCCAAGAACTAAACAAGGACTTAGTTAACACCACTTCATACCTTAGCAACGCCCGAGATTAGCGTTAACTAGCTCAAGAAAACTAGAGGAAGAGCCAACTATTGGTATTGTGAATGGGCTCTGTACTTTTCTTTGATCAGGTTTCCGGTTTATAGCATTACATTCCATGGCCCCTTTCACCCTGCTGCTTATATATATATATTTTACGACCGCACATTTATATGCCTGTGATAACTCCCTGTATGCGTCTAAAGAAGCGGCTCTAGTCCACGAAAGCTGGGGCTGGAATAAACCAGGTGCCAACTAGACTGCTTTTTTATTTGTGCTCCGACAGACTAACGTGGCCACGCCTCTGATTCGTAAAACTGGGTTGATGAGTAGATGGGCACACCCTCTGCCAAGCACGGCCGCATCGCATTTCAGGACTGGCCTTTCGCTACGTTATAAGATTTACTGCCGCGGCACTCACTGATTTTCTGCTCTTCTACATCAGTCTACCCACCTCTCTAGTGGTGCTGAAGATGCAGCTGAACACACACACAACACGGTAGTCTCTTGTGTAAGGTGAGCGGGTTCACTCGACAAAAACGGAAACCGGACTGCACTTACTTGTAACTGTTCTGTGCAGGCACCCATGGGACCGCGCACGTGCGGGCCAGCCACAGTGGGATGAAGGTTCTAAAGACTGCTCGTGCTTTCCAAGACACGCAGAGCGTTGCCTTCCCCCCCTGCTGCGAGCTGGTGGTTTCCCGCCCAAACCGTGACTACGGAGGAGGAGAGTCCTCCCCTTGCCACCGTGGAGGCAGAATTGACCTTCGTCCTTTCCATCTTTTGATTCTCCTCAGGAAAATCTGTTCCTTCTCAGTCAATGAAAAAATAACAGCCACGGCTCTGCTCAAAAAGCATTCCAAATGCGAGACAAAAACGGCTCAGTCCGATGTACACGGACTGTGCCTCACTGGCCTGGGAGAGGGCCACGGTGTCAAGGCCCGTGTCGCCAACTTATGCCTGAAGCCCGACACGGAAGGGCTTCTGGATTAAAGGCAGCCCTCCGAGCTCCCGAGACTCTGCGCCGAAAGCGCTCGACATAGCCCAAAAGAGGGCTGTGGCTTCAGTGGCCCGAATTCTGTCGTTGGATCCGACACCCCGATAGGCGCACAGATCAGCCTTGGTTCCGAGGACCACGTCAGAGCCTCTGCCAAAAGCGAGGTCAAATCCAAACACAGATCTGTGGACACCCCACCCCCACCCCCTCCGGGTTGAGTGTCTCTGGCAAGGGTCATTCCCAAGAGGACGACCTCTGAAGATGTACCAGCACCCTGCACACTTTCTCAGTCAGCAAGGCAGATGGACAGCCCTCTTCCTTTAAACAAAGACATAACAGAGGAGCCGCCACCTCCACCACCAGCTGCAGGTTCCTCTCGTTCGAAGCACCATAAGGTGGAACCGACTCGGTCAGGTGCTGGTTTGGGCGGGGAAACACCAGCTCGCGATGGGAGAGGAGAGCACGCCACGCACCTGGGAACGTACTAGAAATCTTCGTGGCTCACCTGCACATGTACGGTCCCATGTGGATCTGCACAAAAGTCACAAAGATGAACTATGGGTGGCTTATTTATGGTTAACCATCTGGAGAGCAGACATCTACCTACGGCAACCCTGCTTCCTTCTGTTGGAGACCTCCCACACATCGAAGCTAGGCTTGTTGGAATGAAGATGAAAAGGAGGGCCCTCGAATTTAAGCCTCACAATAGGTACCCAACCAGCTTGTAAGACAACAGTTAAAGGCATTATCAAACCAGGAGAGCCTTTCAGCGTACTGTCTGGGGGGGGGAGTGTGAATGTTACAAACGTTGGACAGAAAGTGGGAGAGTCAAGTCAAGGGCACATTCAGGCCAACAAAGGCACTACATTTGCATTTGGACCCACAAACTGGTGGGTCCCACAAACCTTCCTCGCGAAAATGGTGTAAGTCTGCACTGCTAAGTACACTTCCTCGGGAGTCAGGCCCAGGGAGCCCCCTACTGTTTAAATGCGCCTAGGACTTGGCTGCAGTTCAAGAAACCCACCCAAGTCCTCGAGCACCAGTGAGTGGAAATACAGGTTCAAAGTACTTCATTAGAACACAGCAGTTATACAACAGTGCCATCCCCAACTGATCTACACTCTGCTAAGTCCACTAAATGGGCTCAGAAATACGTAATTCCGCTTAAGACAGCACGGTGAGTCACAAGTCTGCATTTTTCAACGGAGCTTTCCCTCTGCCAACTTTTTAGCTTCAGATACAATAGAATATGTATATGCATTGCTAGGACACTCTTTGGCTTAAAACATGGTCATGATTCTGTCCTTGGCTAGGCTTTGCTGGTTAACATTCGAAACAATACTTTTCTCAGATTACCAACTTTATTTATAAACACACCAAAAGCCGCTTTGGGGACCAAAACGTAAGAAGTGCAAATATACCGTTACCTGTCGGACTCCACAGACAGGCCGCTCCGGGTGCCAAGACACCGGTTTCCCGGAGCTGAAACCACTGCCAGCAATGGCAGCCCATGGAAGGGCGAACACAACCAAGCGACTGAAAGTGCATTTCCGGTACAAGCCACAACGCAAGCGTCGCAACCTGCGGCCTCGTCGCGCCAGAGGAGACCGGGACCCTAAATTCAGCCTGAGCAACTTGGCAGGAGTGCGTGGGTTAACACACAAAGTCCGCTGTGAGTTCCTGGGGGTACTGCAGAGAATCGTCAAAGCGAAACCGCTTGGAGACCGTGCTGCTGTCTTCTGGGATGTTTTCTTTGTCTTTCCGCCCGCTGCAGGAGGCGCTACACGGCAGCCTGTTGTTGTTCCTCTCCTCGATGCACTTATTCGTGTGGTCGTGGGTCGGAGAGCTGGGGGTCTCTTCGGGGCTGTACGAGAAGAAGTTTCCTTGCTGCAACCAAGAGTGAGACAGACAGGCCTCTGCCGGGAGCCGCTCCCTTGAAGACAAAAAAATCAAGAGGCCCACATTGAAAACGCAACGCTGCCTTTGGAGTGACAGTGGAGCCACTGATCCTAGGGTTGTCAGGTCCACCCCCGGAGGATGGCGGGGAGGCAGGGTTGCCAGACCCAAGTTGGGAAACTCCTGGAGATTTGGGGATGGAGCCCGGGGAGGGCAAGAGACCTCAGTGGGGTACACTGCCATGGAGTCCACCCTCCAAAGCATCCCCTTTCTCCAGGGGGTCTCTGTAGTCTGGAGATGAGCTGTAATTCCGGGGGACCCCCAGGTCCTACCCGGAGGCTGGCATCCCTACACTGAATGCAAGGATCAGCAGTCCCTTAACACTGGCATAGCCGCACGGATTTCAAAATGAGACTGCACCCCCGTCAGCAACCTGATTTGGTTAAGACCCCCCCCCCATCTCTTATGTTCCTCAGTTTCTCTTCCTTGGAGCCCACCCCATGCCTCTTCCCTTCCTATTGGTCCATTTTGGCTCCAAATCCTCCCAGGGGCTTCTGGGAGTTGTAGGCCCAGCCTCACCTACTGCTAGCCAGGCTCCTTGGGCCTAGTAGGTCTCTACTGGCACAGCCCAGATCATGACAATAACATAGGCCAAACGGCATACCAAATCGTACTAAATATGATATTTATGACATCTCAGTTCTCAACAAGCAAAATTACAGATATATACTAAAGAAAAGAATGTAATCTGGATGTAAAGTATCAGGGGGGAAAACAAAGAAAGTTGGGGTGGGATGTATAAGGGGCAAATCCCCCCCCCCATGATTTCATTGGGATCTTTGGTGAGTATAGCAGAGTTCTACAGCGGAAGCGTGCTGGGCCCATAACCCTATTGGGATATTTGGTTTATATAACAGAGTTTTGCCCAGTCACAGACGCATGATACTGAGTGTCGTAAATAAATCTCCTAAGAAGTACATTGCAAAAGGCAAAGACTTACATTTATTCAAGTAGATCCAGTTCACAAGCAGGAAAAAGTAAAAAGAAGAGAAAGAAGCCTAATCCAAAGAGGACTTTCCCTATCAGAGATGGCCAGCTTGTAGTGTCATGTGTGGGGAAGTATGAGGGCGCAGTATCTACAGGAGAGACCTGCAGAGTCAATTTGTCTCCACGGAAGGCCATGTGAAGTGAGTGAGAGGACAAAGCAAAGAGGAGGGGTCAGAGGGCAGCTCCCAGGTTAAGACCAAGAGAAGCATCCCATTCAAGGAGATAAAACGCCTATATACACTTAGAGTGATGTAAAAAGTAAAGGTAAAGGTTCCCTTGCTCAAAAGCCAGTCGAGTCCGACTCTAGGGTGGCAGTGCTCATCTCTGTTTCAAAGCCGAAGAGCCAGCGCTGTCCGAAGACACTTCCGTGGTCATGTGGCCAACATGACTAAACACCAAGGTGCACGGAACGCTGTAACCTTCCCACCGAAGTGGTACCTATTTCTCTACTTGCAATTTCTTGCTTTCGAACTGCTAGGTTGGCAGGACGGGAGCTCACTCCGGCATACGGCACACTCGGGTCTCGAACTGCTCAACTACCGACCTTCCACAGCCTGCAGTTCAGCGTCTTAACCACCTGAGCCACCGCAGCTCCTTTAGAATGATGTAGCGCCCCCCCCCCCCACTGGCCAGGCATGCTGTTTCGCTCACTCCAACAAATTTTTGAGGGCCTTCATGCCTTTGAGGGAAAGGGAGTATTGTTTATGACTTGGCAGAATCTGGTTTCATGGGTTCTCAATCCGATGCAGCGCTCACAAAATATCAAGAAAATTGGGGCAATTTCAAACAAAATCAAAATGCAGCTAGTGATCCAAAGGCAAACAAAAATAGCTTTCCCCACACAATTGAAGTCCCCTGCTTATTATTCCACTCATTTACATCACGGCAACACACAAGGGTGGCATTCAAGCCTTCCCCAAAAAGCCACCTACTTACTCAGGATTTTTAACAAGTAGCTTTTGAATGAAGTCTTTGGCCAGCAGCGAGACCGAGGCAAAAGTGTCTTCGGAATAATCCACATTCACTTGAGAAATATTGAGGTACGTTTCTTGAATGTCCGCTCCCACAAAAGGAGATTCATGCGTGAGCAGCATGTATGCGATTACGCCTACATTCCTGAAACAAGAGAAAATGTTGTTTCTTCCCGCTCGTTCTTATACTAAAGATAAAAGATTTGTCCATAATAAATAGTGAAAAGAATTTTTTTTAAAAAACCCTGGTTTTCATACGGATCTAGTAGGAAGCCATTTCATGTACGCCAAGAGTTTTCTGCAGTGAGATCATTGACATGATGTTCTTTCCCTGAAGCACAAACACCTTGCTTACCCACAACGGCAGTTTTTCCCAAGCGGTCACCTGTGCATTCGTGCTTGCAGGGGACCATGTTTGGCATCACTTCAGAAACTTCTGGAGCCAGGTGCGAGAGTCCCCTCCCCGGGAGGTGCACCTTCTGACCACAAATGCCCAAGGAGCTGGCCCATAGCTACAGTGGGGCCACTGGGGGCTCTGACCCCTTCCTTAAAGGGGCAGCCCCACAAGGTTTTTTGAGAAGATTTTTTGGAGAATAATTGGAGGGGAGGCCCATGCACAGGGCCCCCCTGCTTCTTCTCAAAAGTATTTGAAGGGATCCTTTCATAGAATCATAGAATGTTAGAGTTGGAAGGGGCCTTGCAGGTCATCTAGTCCAACCCCCTGCACTCTGCAGGAGCAGAGCCGAAAGAGAGCCCCACAACATATCCAAAAGGTGGTCGTCCAGCCTCCGCTTGGAAACGTCCAGCGAAGGAGCATCCGCCACCTCCTGAGGCAGTCTGTCCCACAGCTCAACCACTCTTACAGTTAGGAAGTTTAAATGCTTTTGAGTAGAAGTGGGGGATGGTGCGCGCCCCTCTCCCTCCCTTGTGCAAGATTTAAAGCAGGGGTGTTGAACTCATTCCTTATGAGGGCCGGATCTGACATAAACGAGACCTTGTTGGGCCGGGCCATGTGTGTCATAAAAGGTAATGCCAGGTAGATACAAACTTTATAAAGGACACAGACACAAAGGTTTTTTTTTAACTTGAAATAAAAACATGCTTAACACATTAGCACTCTTGCAATATTTTGTTTATTTAACAATATCTGATCACTGACACCTCTTGCTCTGAATTACTGCATCAAAATGTCTGTGGTGTTGCAATCTTGAGTATGCTGTTCAGGTGTGTATCTGTAAGCTGCAAACCTATGATGACACAGCAGCAGCAGAACTGGAAGAAGAAGCAGAAGACAGCCAGTTCCACTGCGGTCCTGACAGAAGCCCTCTGGGGGCCTGATCCGGCTCCCGGGCCGCATGTTTGACACCCCTGATTTAAAGGGCCCTCCAGCTGATCAGTGAGCCACGTACTCCCCGCTGATCAGCTGAAGAGCCCTTTAAATCTTGCAGGAGGGGAGGGAGAGGGGTGGCTGTCAGCGGTCGGGCTTGGGGGCGGATTGGAGCTGACATAAAAACAACGGCAGCCCCACCAGAAATTTTTTTTGGCCCAAATCCCGGCTATGGGCCTGCCAAGGAGTATTCCCACTCGATTCCTTCCACAATGCAAGACAAAGGCACCTGTCGTAGGGAAGAGGGAGTGCCATGCGAATGCACAGATCACCCCTTGAAGAGCAACAGTTTCAGGGAACCGAACGGTCTTTACTTCTTCAGGGGCTCTGTGCATCACACCAACAGGCACAGACTGCTAAGCTGACATACAGGGAGGTGGACACAGGTGCTTCAGGAAAAGAGTGGAACACTGCTCAGCTGAAGGATGAGTCCACCTCGTGAAGATGTGTTGCTGGGTTGTGGCTCTGCAGAGCTCAGGAAGAGGGATCCCTCTGCCAAAAGGCTGCTGACGTAGCAATACCTCAGACAGAGTGAGCTCAAATGGCCCACGGAAGTGGCTGATGAGCAAGCTCATAACCAATTTGATAGTCTGTGAGATGCAGTGACCGAACCTTCGTGAGAAGACACGCATTATCTCTTCTTCAGGTCCGAGTGGCTCAGGGAAAAGCCAGCGTGTTGTCGAGAGGTAAAATGTAACATGGCAAGGCCCCCCTGGCACCCGAGGAGCTCAAAGCCTGCTCTACATCTGAGGCAGGGAAAGGAAAGAAAGTCGTAAAGTCAGAGCCTGGTCAAAGGGGGAACCCAACCATCACTGTCGGAAGGAAGGGAACGTCCAGGTGAAGGAAATGTTTCTGCGTGGAATCAAAGGGACGGGGATTTGATGTTAACACAAACGTTTGACGTTCACAGGCACTCCTCAAGAAGTAAATAGCTATGTCACTTTAAGGGTGGGTAGGCACGAATCACAAGTGGCAATTACTGGGAGAGGTCAAACTGCACGTACCAGGCGTATACAGGCCACTGGACTGTACAAGCAAAGCCTCGGAAGGCGAAGTAAACGGCAGCACATATACTAAAACTGGAGGAGACAGAGAAGATCAGCACGGCCCCTACAGAGGAGGACTGAGTCGGAAGACCCAGCAGCCTGAGAAAACTGAACAAGCCACTCTAAACAGCCTCATGAACCACTCTCCACGAGGCCATGGCGTCCCTAACTAGCCTCCTGATCTCCTTGGTGAGAAGGGGGAGGATAGGAGGGGAAAGACATTTCGACTAACGGTGGAGGAAGGCATCTCCAGGACAAGACGGGGCTTGCAACTGTCCTGGGAGCCCACGGGAAGTTGAAAGAGACCGCATCTGTCTCATTCATAGCTTGGCAAAGCAAACAACAAAGATGAAACCCAATTTGAGACCCAAGAGGTTTGTCTTCCTGGTTGTAAGGGATGTGTGAGGAAACAGCACATCACGGTCATGAGGGCATTCTTCCTATCTGAAAGGAGATATTTCCCCCCCAGTGACAGTCCAAAAGTACCCCATCAATTGCCTTGTTCTATTAGGGCAACGGTGTAGCTTGAATACCCGGTGAGGACAGGCTACATGAACTAGTCCCTGCATGACAAAGGAAGGAAACATCCTATGGTAAGCCAATCATTAACTGACAGTGGAAAAGGGAATCCTTGAACTCTGAAGACCTGCCCCTGGTGAAAACTGCTGGGGTGGCAGACAAGCTGCAGGGAAATACCTTGTACAGGCAGGAGGCACCTCCTATAGCAAATTCTAGAAATCTGCAATGCTCTGGTGGGATCAAAAGTGAAAGTACACAACCTTGAGAGAGAGGGGACCCAAGCTCCTGTGTCAAGAGGGGCAAGACTGAGGCGAGGATCCTTCGTACAGAATAGGGTTGCCAAGTCCATCTTCCACCCCCAGCGGGGGACTTTGGGGGTGTTCCTGGAGGGGGCGGGGCATCCCCGACGTGATGACGTCACGTTGGGGACGTCTGCCACCCCCCCTACTCGCCCGTGCGCCGGATCTCCAGAAACGGCAGTTCCCTGCACTTAAAGGAGCCAGCGTTTCCCTTTTAAATGCAGGAACCGGCGTTTCCCCTTTAAGAGCAGCCGCGTTTCCCTTTTAAGAGCACAAAGCTGGCATTTCCCTGCAAGCTTGCGGCGATCGGGCTTGGGAGGAAACACGGGTTCCACACACTTAAAGGGAGAGATGGGTGGCTGTGGGTGTTGGGGGTGGGGCTTCCCCGCCGGCCATCTGGCCGGCAGCGGGTAGAAACCCCCCCCCCCCAAAATGGGGGCCCCTGGCAAACCGGGGGGGGTTGGCAACCCTAGTACAGAATGTCTTGGCACTGGTGTATTCATTGACACCCCTGAGACCCTTTTGGAGACAGAGGCCTCCATGCTTTTTTGGAACAGTGAAGCCCCTGGGAGGAAGGTACTGCTCCTGTCTCCTCTCTCCGAGGAAGGGGGCCAGTCTCCCGGAAGAGGACCGGGTCAGGAAGGAGCAGACAGACCCTCTGGATGGGAGCAGCAAGGTGCCTGACACCTGTGGCGTATCCCAGCCCAACAATGGCAGGTAGTGATCTGATGCTGCGGTCTCCAGTTTGGAAGACAGTGCACAGATAGGAAATGAGTGGTTAAGAACAATCAGAATAGCCTCTCATAAGAGGAGCCCTGCTGGATCAGACCAGTGAGGGTCCATCTAGTCCAGCATCCAGTCCACCCAGTGGCCAGCCAGTTCCTCTGGAAGGCCAACCACAGGGCAGAGAGGCCAAGGCATTCCTAAGAACAGAAAAAGAGCCCTGCTGGATCAGACCAGTGGTTCATCTAATCCAGCATCCTGTCTCACACAGTGGCCAACCAGTTCCTCTGGAGGGCCAATAACAGGCCATGGAGGCTGAGGCCTTCCCCTGATGTTGCCTCCTGGCTCTGGGATTCAGAGGATTAGTGCCTCTGAATTTCGAGGTTCCCCTCAGCCACCATGCCTAGTAGCCACTGAGAAACGTATCCTCCACGAATCTATCTAATTTCCTTTTTAAAGCTGTTTATTCCTGTGGCCATCACAGTGCTAGTAAGAACACTGCCAAAGTGGAGCACAGCAGAGCCAACTGCAAAATGCCAGGGAGCGAGGTTATATATAACTGAATGTATAACCACACCTCAAAAAGGATATGATAGCACTGGGAAAAGTGCAGAAAAGGGCGACTGGAATGATAAAAGGGTTGGAACACTTTCCCTATGAAGAACGGTTAAAGCGCTTGGGGCTCTTTAGCTTGGAGAAACGACGGCTGAGGGGTGACACGATCGAGGTTTATAAGATGATGCGTGGGATAGAGCAGGTAGAGAAAGAGGTCCTTTTCTCCCTTTCTCACAATACAAGAACTTGTGGGCACTCCATGAAATTGCTGAGCGGTCGGGTTACAACAGATAAAAGGAAGTCCTTCTTCACCCAAAGAGGGATTAACACATGGAATTCACTGCCACAGGAGGTGGGGGCAGCTACAAGCATGGACCGCTTCAAGAGGGAATTGGATAAACATATGGAGCACAGGTCCATCAGTGGCTATTAGCCACAAGGCATAGATAGGGACTCCAGGGCAAGTGATGCTCTGTCTTCTTGGTGCTTGGGGGGGATCAACAGTGGGAGGGCTTCTGGTGTCCTGGCCCCACTGCTGGACCTCCTGATGGCACCTGGTGTTTTTGGCCATGGTGTGACACAGAGAGTTAGACTGGATGGGCCGTTGGCCTGATCCAACATTGGCCTCTCTTAGGTTCTTATGTAATAGTAACTCTTCAACATTTCCGCAGAAGCACTGTTGAACAGGATACCTTTTAATCTGTACAGCCAATCAGAAGCCCTCCTTGGCAAACACCCCACCTAGCTCCTCCCACTTTCTAAAAACACTTGGCAGGCACCAGAAGAGGTGTCAGCGGGACCACGGCACCCACAAACCCCTGGAACACACTACCAAAGTTCTAAAGCTGCTCTAGATATCGCATAAACAGCACGCTCAGGTAGCAGGTTTCTTCATCCAGTATAAAGTCTGGGGCGGGCCCATGCAATTAACATGGACCTGGGCACCTGTACCTGCCAAGTCCAGATGTCCACATTAGCGAGTTCGGTCTCTACCAACACTGAAGAGTTACAGATTAGCAGTCTATTTAGATAAGAAAATCAAGCACAAAGGTTAAGAACGAGGTTCTGGAATGGAAGTAAAGATATATTTCGTTTGTATGGCAGAGATGGGATCCCATTTCTGAGAAATGTTGGAATGTGATGAAATAAAAGATTACTGAGACAAGTTTTTTTTTTTTTTAAAGACACTTGTGAAATGAGTGTCTTCAGCTCATGTCAAAACATTGTTAGTAATCCAGGCTCAATAGCTGAGTTTTAAGCATTATTTATAAAATGTTGTTTGTCTGAAGTCTGTCACCAAGAGAAACGTTGAATGGCAGTGGTTTTTCCCCTCTGAACTTAGTTTCAGCTGTGGCAAAGATGTTCCAACCCCAACAGACCAGAAGAACTGGTCAGATCCAGAATGCGCCTTGCTATGCATTGGTATGGGCTACGCTTTGTCATATTAAGGTCATCTAGAACATTAAATTTCAGCTATTTCAGCCTCAGATGAGCTCAGCAAGCACAGGAGTTTGCTGTACCAAGTGGCCTATGACAAACTGGCTCAAAAGCATAAAACCTTCAACACAAGGAGTGCGCATTCGAAGTCAGACAAGATAGACATGATGGGTTGAATCCAACAGTGCTCTTCCACAGGCGAAGGACTCTTTGTGGTAACAGCAGAAGCAATGATCTGCAAGCACTACGCCTTCTTCCCCTTCCGGTCACTGCCTAATACTGCACACAGGGCCCCAAACGGGCTTGGAAGTTTCATCTAGTTCTAAGTAACACCGAGATAACTCAGGATGAAGCTACCTGAATACCGTTTGCTTTGCACACAACTGACCTGGCAATACCCAAGGGCAGTGGACCGCTGCCTGAAACCCTGATCCATCAAGAGAAAGACAGAGGAATTCTTGGTCCCCCTGGATCGTCTATTAATCCCTAGAGCAGGGGTGTCAAACATGTGGCCCAGGGGCCGGCTCAGGCTCCCAGAGGGCTTCTATCAGGCCCACAGCGGAACTGGCTGCCTTCTGCTTCTTCTAGTTCTGCTGCGTCATCGTAGGTTTGCAACTTACAGATACACACCTGAACAGCATACTCAAGATTGCAACAGCACAGACATTTTGATGCAATAATTCAGAGCAAGAGGTGTCAGCTATCAGACACGGTTAAATAAACAAAATATTGCAAGAGTGCAAATGTTTTCAGCATGTTTTCATTTTAAGTTAAAAAAACCCTTTGTGTCAGTGTCCTTTATAAAGTTTATATCTCCGGTATCTGGCGTTACATTTTATGACACACACGGCCCGGCCCAACAAGGTCTCATTTATGTCAGATCCAGCCGTCATAACAAATGAGTTCGACACCCCTGCCCTAGAGCAAACACACACTTTTGTATCTACCTCAACTGAGAGAATTTACTTCTCTCTTGCTCAGCGCGGTAGCAGTATTCCCTCCCCGGCCACAGATATCAAGTGAATGCGGGCTGGGGGGGTGGGGGTGGGCCTTTTTCAGAAAAGCCGTTTCTGTGAACAACTGTTACTCTTTAGTCTAAGTTCTTTCAATTTGTTTTAGAAGAAGCTAGCTTACCATAGATCAGTCGCCGTAGTAATAGGTTCATAACTTAAGATTTCTGGTGCTGGGGGGGGGGGGAGAGGAGAGAAGAGGAGAGAGGGCCATTAAGTACAGAAGTATTTTCTCACATGCGTGATGAACAAACTTGCCTAAATATATACCTGACAGGTTCAGGTGGGGCAGCCGTGTTGGCCCGAAGCAACAGAACAAAGTTTGAGGCCGGTGGCACCTTTCAGACCCACAAAGTTTTATTCTGGGCACAAGCTTTTGTGTGCGGCAGACTGAGACAGCGAGAGAGAAAGACCACCCCCCTCCGTGTTCTCTCATTATGAATGCTGTCGGGATAAATAGTGCGTACTTCTGATGCCGTTGCTCTGCTCTGCTCTGTTAACTGTCTTGTGCAGGCCAATGGACAGGTCATGCATGTTTAACATAACAGACATACCGGTCTCCAATTTATGTTCTGGGAGCCAGCCTGCGTGTAAGCACTTTAAAGTCATTCATCTCTAAACGAGGGGATCCCCGTCTCCTGACTAGTGCTGGGGGGAAAAGAAATGAGGAGGAAGGTTCCCTTCCCTGCCTTTCATGGTCACAGCTGACGTAGGGCAACCCTGTTGGGTTTTCAAGGCGAGACCGGTTCAGGCGTGGTTTGCCACTGCCCGGCTCTGCGTGATGTCACGACCCTGGAGTGGACTTCCTTGGAGGTCTCCCATCTGTTTACGAGCCAGGGCCGGCTCTGCTTACCAGCCAAGATTCGGGCTATTCAGGTCAGGTAAATACTAACCAGGGCTGACCCTGCTTAACTTCCCAGATCTGGCGAGACTGGCCTATCCTGGGCTATGCCAGGTAACAAGCCTTTTATACAAGGTAACGGATTTCTCCCTTGAGCCTAACTAGTCCTGTGCCAGGAATTAATTGCCCACGTGTGAAAATCCAAAGGGACAGAGGCATACCTTGATATTCAGGGGTTCCAATGATTTCACAGAGTTCAGTGCAATTGCCAATCTTCCGAGAAATACCAAAATCGACTATTTTTATGTCGCCAAGTGGACGTATACTACTCAACAAAATGTTCTGAGGCTATAAGGAAGAAACAGAAATGTTAAGAGTCATCTAGGTTAGGGTACGGTAATATCTGCAAGTGATATAAACTACGGTTATTCCTCAGAGATATTTGTAGGCCACTTACACCAGCATAACACAATTCAAACAGCATTATCACTACCAGTGTAGATGACCAGTGAACTTGTTCTTTAATAATATAGTAATCTGCACGTAAATCTCAAGATGTCTCAGAATTTTTTTAGAAAAATTCTGATCTAGTAATCATAATCCTGCCCCGCTGAAGAAATTAATTAGGACTGGAAGAAACACACGACTGAATTTTATCCTAACCAAACACCCATGCACACTACCTGAATTCTTTAAGATGTGAATGGACACATCTTTTGCGGCACCCTAGGAACGGGATTAAACTAGGAACTGCAGATGTGAAATTTTCCCATATGACATGGGAAAGGAGAAGTTTAAACACATACTCCCATTCTGTATCATTCAGGCTCAGGTCTAGCAGGTACAATTCCCTGCTGCACCAGAGGGTGTTTCTGCGAGACTTCTGAACTGCCAGGACTAGGTGAGCAGGAAGATCCTAATCTAGCCCCAGCCTCAGCCTTGACTTATTTTGCTGTGATTGGGCAGACGGGGAGATGTCCCAGTTGGTTGTTCCGGAGGATTCTTTATGGAGTCCTCAACTTGTAAATAACTAGTAATGTACCAACATATATTCTAAAGAGCCGCGCGTAATTCAGCCATCCATGACGTCAACATTTGTACCAAGAATTCCTTGTTTAGGCCAGTTCATTTCATGGTCTCCTTGGCCAGGGAAACTGTGATGGGGCCATCTGAAGAAAAAGGACATATGCTAGACTTAACTTTCTGTACTAGCCCTGGGAGAGTGGAAGCGGGACCACAATTCAAGCCATAATCTTTCGTAGTAGGTGGTGTAGTGAGACACCATGGCTCTTTCGTTGTATGTGGTATAGAGAGGCAGTGCGTTATAGCGGTTAGAGTGTCAAACTAGGATCTGGGAGAGCCAGGTTCGAATCCACTCTGCCGTGGAAGCTCACTGGGTAGCCCCAGACCTCCGGCATGCACACTCAGCCTAAAACGCAGGTGCTTGGAGAGGGGCAACAGCAGGGGGGGGCTCCTAGTGTCCTGGGCCCGCTGGGTGGACCTCCTGATGGCACCTGGTATTTTTGGCCACTGTGTGACTCAGAGTGTTGGACTGGATGGGCCTTTGGCCTGATCCAACATTGGCTTCCCTTATGTTCTTATGTTCTCTTAACCTACTTCACAGGGTTGTTGTGAGGATAAAATGGAGGAGAGGAGAAGGGTGTAAGCTGCTAATGCCCAAATGAGATTAGTTATAAACATACAACATAATAGTCAAATATTCAAAAATACACGTATTTATTACAAAAGAGATAAAAACAGATATAGGCCCAAATAGCAGCCTCAAATCAGGATGAAATCATACGATAGTATCAAGCATAAACCATATGTGACCAAGACCATATGCGTTCTGGCCAATTTGGCCTTCGTCAGTGGTCAGACTTATTTATTGCACAATGTCTCCAACTAGTACAATAAATACTAAAATTAGGACCAACTGAAGATTGTTTTTTAAATAAGGCACTGTCACTCAAGGCAGAGATATGACACACAATTTAAAATACCTTCTGCCCTGGTCATGTACTCATACCTTGAACGATACTTCAATTATGCGTCTTGCTCACTTGGTCCAAGAAAAATACATTCTTAATACTGTGTGGAGCCAATAGCAAATGGGAGAATGTGAGTCATAGAGATTTATTGTGTCTTGAAGTCACAGAGATTTATTATAAAACAATCTTCAATTGTTCCTAATTTTAGTATTTATTGTATTAGCTGGAGCCAATGTGCAATAAATATGTCTGACCGCTGAGGAAGGCCAAATTGGCCAAAACGCATATGGTCATGGCCACATATGGTTTATGCTTGATCCTGCTGCAGGATTTCATCCTGATCTGAGGCTACTGTTTGGGCCTCTATCTGTCATTATTCCATTTGTAATAAATAAACATATTTTTGTATATTTGACTATATCTATGTTGTATTTTTATAACTGATATCAATTGGCCTTTAGATTTGCTATAATTAACTAGTTTTATCTATACCAAGAGAATAATAAATCATATTTCACCTGACCCTGGACTTTCCATCCATTATGCCAAACCCTTCCTTTAAAAAAAAAGAGAGAGCACTGATACAAGTTCAGACATCATTCACACACAAGTTCAGACAACATTCACACACTCACACACAATATTACCTTTAAATCAAGATGCACAATATTGTTCTGGTGCAGGTGACACACACCTTCGAGAATTTGTCGTATAAGCCTAATAATATCCGTTTCATCTATGGTTTCTTCTAGGTCAGGGAGGCATAAGTTAAAAATTTCTCCTCCAGCCGCACTGCAACAGTAAAGATTTTACACATATTAATTTTCAAAATTGTAAGGCCTAAGTTCAGAGGTTAATGCTAACTGGGAAGTAAACAGAACAAAGTTTGAGTCCAGTGGCACCTTTAAGACCAACAAAGTTTGATTCTGGGTATCAGCTCTCATGCGCATGCATGATAAAGCGTGCATGCAAACAAAAGTTTATACCCAGAATTAAACTTCGCTGGACTTAAAGGTGCCACTGGACTCAAACTTTGTTCTGTTGCTTCAGACCAACACAGTTACCGACCTGGGAAATAAACAGTTATGTTGCCTGTGAGTGACACATCATTACCTTTGATGAATGATGGAAGAGATGGAGGGAGAAGTTTTAAAAGGGGGGGGGGGGTTATCCCTCCATGGGAAAAAGCACAAGTTTGTTTTTAAAAAGTGATGTGAAAGATGTGACACATGTAAAACCATATGCAAACTTTGCATTGGGGCGATCGGTAAGGGAGTCTTTCCACAAGAAGAGCCCTGCTGGATCAGACCAAAGGTACAGTTCCTCTGGAGGGCCAACAACAGAGCATACAACATACCATTCATTTTTATTGCTCATAGACCCATAAGTCATAAGCAAATAGACAGGGTATAATACAAAATACAACATATATACATACAGTACATTACGATTACAGTTACAATTTCACAAAGTTAAGCAATTTGGTTACCAAATACATATTAACTGCCTAAAAGAGTCAATTTATTTAATACCACCCATGGTTACAGATAGAAACTTTGCCACTGCTAACGCCACATTTGGATCAGTATCAACTACGAGATTAGCTACTAGTTCCTGATTAGAAGCAGGGCTCCATTTTTGAATCTACACTGAGATCCATCTATCACGAGCCATATCGTATTTTCTGCAATAACAACAGGGCATAGAGGCCGAGGCCTTCCCCTAATGTGGCGTCCTGGCTCTGGGATCCAAGGGCTTAGTGACTCTAAACGTGGAGGTTCCCCTCAGTCACCATGGCTAGTAGGTAGGGGTCATTTCCTGCGGGAGTGCACAGGAGCGGAGCTCCAGCAGTAAGGAGCCCAGGGGGTGGGCACATGCAGCAAGCCCCGCCCCCTGCTCCCAGCAGCCCTCATTCGGGCCACAAGGAGCAAGAAGCAACCAGGTAAGTTGCAGAGCTCACCACCACCTTCAGGTACAAGGTCTCCCTCTGCGAGGGCAGATTCGTTCGTGCCCCCCCCCCCCAATAGCTAGCAATCCAAAACAGTCCAGTGGAGCCTGAGCGGTGGGTGTTGCCTTCTGACACACTTCTGGTGATGTCAGGGGGTGTGGCATATGCAAATAAGCTATGTTAATGAGTTATCCTAATGAGCTCCTGCATCTCTTTTTCTATGAAATGACCCCTGCTAGTAGGCACTGATAGACTTATCCTCCATGAATCTATGCAATCCCCTTTTTAAAGCTGTTTATTCCATCGGCCCTCACAACAGCCTCTGGCAGCCAAGTCCACATTTTAGTCACACTCTGTGTCGAGTAGCCTTTTCTGTGAAAAGTAGTATTTCCAGAACTCCAACAGATCCCAGAAAACAAAGAAATAATGTTTAATGGAAAGTGACACCTCAGCACAGCATGTAACCGATGCCGTAAAGGAAATGGATATTTTATTCCTGAAGTAACCACAATCTTCGAAACTATGATAATAAGCAATGTTCCAGCCAGCAGTTCATTCTGTGCAACGCTGAGATACCCCGCAGGAGGCAAAGCTTTCTAGAAACGGCGCGTCTAGTTCTCGGCATGTGATTCGAGGCGTTCTGCCCTGAACCATCTGTCACCTACGCACCTTAAAACGAGGCCTTTCAACTGCTACGGACTACTCATCTATCGCAACCTTTCAGGAAACGATAAAAACGCAGCCCCTGTATTTTCTGGAACACATTTTGATCTTGGCTCTCTGGTCACATACCTTCCCTGGAGCAGACATACTTGTTATATTTAACACATACTTTTGGAAACAAAACGAAGACTGTGCCACAACCACAGACATGGCACTGATACAATTTATGGCTGCAATGTTTGATTTCTTCCATCGCATCCAAGGATTCCCACACACATACCCGAGTGTTTACACACAGAGATAACAACTGTTTCTGCAGTTTGTTTTCCCAA